CTGGACGACCGAGGGGTCGGAGTTCTAGTCCCGGTAGGCTCAAGAATTATTTCAAGTTGAAATCAAAGAGACGTCATGATAAATTGCATTTAACATATATAGTTAAAATTATTCACGTTACACTAAAATATTTTTAATTCTAATAAATATCCTTTATTGTTCATTTGTTTCAGACTAACTTTGTGGATGGCCGCGCCATAGCTCAAACTGTTAGTCGCTGACTTCCCAAAGCGGCGGCCCGGGTTCGATCCCGGGGGCTGGTCAAGTGGGATTTGTGGTGGACAAAGTGGATCTGGGGCAGGTTTTCTCCGAGTACTTCGGTTTCCCCTGCCGATCTTCTTTCCACCAAATCCTCCACAATCACCCTCACCTATCATCTGGGGCTGGTACAGTAGGCCAGAAGTGGCCGCAGTACAAGGGACTTAGTCCCACCCAACTAGCATTAAAAAAAACTTTGTGGATGATACGATACAATATTCTGAGTTTAATGGTACTTAGATTTCACAGAATTAATTCTGCTCTTATTCAAATGGTTCAGTGTATTCTAGATTATTTTACAATGGAGTTACAGTAAGTCTGGCAAAAGTTTGGCCGTCAGCATGAGACCAAATTAGGAACAATTATTAAAGAATGAAGTAATGATACAGAGAGAATTTATTCTCGATGGTGAGCGAGAAGATTTCACTGACTTTTTACCAAAAAATGAAACTTTCATGGGGTAACGTAAATCACAACAAATTGTATACTAGAAACGAAAGAAATTGTAAAGCGTGGATAGAAACTAAGAAAGAAAGGAAGAAGAACACGGAAAGCTAGAGGACCTGAATGCTTAGGAAAAGAGAAAGCTAAACACATGCACTTGTATGTGTATTGCTGAAGTGTGCAGAGACAAAAATATGAAGAATAGAATTTTTACGTAAAAAGTGGCTTAACAAGAACGAGAAATTTGTTCATAGAAAGATAAAAAATTGAAGTACAGTATGCGCCGAAATGAAGTACCGAAACTCGCGCATCTCGAACGCATACGTGCGTTTATCGACGGGGCATAGCTCCAGCCGCACGTGTTCCCAGTAGTGAAAAGGAAGTTGTGTTATGCAGTTGTTGTTGAAAATGGGTCTCTCGACGGAGGAAAAAGTATTCATAGTTGAGTATTATTTCCTCTCATACGGAAGTGGTCGCCAGACAACTCGCTTCCTTGGTTTTAAGCGGCCAGATTTTATCGTCCAGAAACCGCTACACAGTACACGTGTGACGGTATGGTGTGCCGTCTCTGCACACGGTATATTTGGCCCCTATTTCACTGAGGATGAGGAAGGCAATGCTCTTACCGTCACCCAAAAACGCTACAGGATCATGCTGATCTGACAATTTCTTCAGAATTTGAGAAGGTTCTGTCGTGCAAGGGGCCTTCACATGAATAGACAGTGGTATCAACAGGACGTCTTTTCATTTCAGTACAGATTTTTGGCGCATGCTGTGAAAGTAAAGGTATCCCTGTAACAGGCCATGGAGGCCCATGCGATTGTGAGATGTTGAGGTTCCCACATTTTCTAGACAATAGGCTCATAGATGGCGGTAAGATTGTCAGCCTTACGCGCCGGCCGCCCTTTACCCCCCAGGAGTATTCCTGGTACTCATTTCTGTTAGAGGCTGAGTCGAGCCCAGGGCCATAGTTCGGCTGGAAGGATTAGGTCAATTGAAAAATCAACCTCATCGGGATTCGTTCCTGCAACCTCCCGGCTTGTAGCATAGAGCCTCAAGTAACTACGCTACCGCGTGCTCCCTATAGAAAGATAATAAATAGCACAAGTATAACAGAGATGAAGAATATAGGAGAATAGAATTAGGCGCAAATTGAAAAGTAAAGTGAGGAGAAATAGTAAAGCTATAGTGATCATAAAGAAATACTTCGAAAGGATTGCAGAAATGAAAGGGGTGTATTCCAGATCAATCAGGTGTTAAATGGCGTCCAGTCTCGCACAACTATGTGGAGTAACATTAAATGTGTTGTTATTATTATTATTATTAATATGCTTACTTCATCGAGGTATTCGCAATCCACTGCAAACGTTTCATCCACTGGGAGCATAATTCGAACGCCATATGTTGCAGCCTGTCAGGAAGTTTCATATTCCGTACCACTTAATGAACTTCAATCAAATCTGGTGTGGACGGTCTAAAGCAAATGACATGCGAATTGTATTCCATTCAACACTCTGCACGCAAATGATCGCTGACGTTGACATGTCTCCAAAACCACTGGATTAAATGAAGCTCATGTCAAAAAATACATTTTACAAAAGAGATAACACGATTTGGAAAGGATGTAAGCGTACTAAGGAATGCAATACATATAATTATCAGTGGTGTTCTTTGGAATGAATTACATTTGCTTAAAACTGAAAATAATGAAGGACAAATTAGTGAAAGTCACCAGATAGACTTTAAGCATAAACTACGGAAGAGTCTGGGAATTCATGAAGATGTATATTTATCGCTCATGTGAACCGAACCAATGTTTGTTGGAAACCTCCTATGTTGAACTTCGATGAGGTCTTTCAGTCAGTTTATGGAATAAAAGGAAAAGTCCATTTACAACTTTGTGTAAACTGAAACGTTCTTTTGTTAGTGGCTCTGATTTAAGGTTATGTTTTCCTTGATTATGTATTATGCTATATCCCCTTTTCCTTCATTCCTGTCTACGTTACGTCATGGGGTTTCGTGACTTGGCAACCCAACCACCTTCCCTTTCCACCTCCCGGGCAGACTTCTTAGGTCCACACCTGCATACAAGCCTTCTCCTTTGATTTCGGAAGTCCTGCGGGAAGGACACTTAAAAGATTCTGTCTAGAATCGTTTTAACTTACGCCGATATGCGCGTGTCTAAATTCAATTTGCCTCGTTCATTGCAGCCTTCCTACATGATAGGAGCCTTCACCGAAATTGTTTTTAAAGTAAGCTTTTTGTGTACACGGCAAAGTGTGTTTTTGAGAGCGTGTTCTCGTCTTGCGGAGCATACACTCTGTTAGTGCCGTTTTGTTCACTCACGGTTTATACCGTTATTTTGTGTGTTTAAAAGAACGCGCCCTCTACTAGCCAAGTCTGTTTTCCTTTTGTGGCGCTGTACCGTCATATGTGGTATTTGTTAGTGATGACTGTTTCGTGGGAATTGCGTTTCGCGTGTTGCCCGCCGACCCCTTGAAATTGTCACTGCTTGCGTCTTTTGTGTACCTGCTCTCGTAAAGAGCTCCCTATTGCAAAAGAATGTTTGACCTTGTAGCTCTGTTTAATTGGCTACACGACCAGTGTTTTTACATAGATTAACACCCATCCCCTCTTAGTTTTCCCTTCACTTTGGCTACAACCGGTCCGGTTTTTATTATTGTTATATTCTTTATTTTTTTAGTATTAAATTGTGTCATTAAAAAGCGGTAGAGTAGTTGGTTGAGTCACTATGCTACAAGCCGGAAGGTCGCGGGTTCAAGTCCCGATGAGGTAATGGGATTTTCTTTAATTGAATTAATCCTTCCAGCCGCACTATGGCCCTGAGGTCGACTAAGCCTCTAACAGAAATCAGTGCCAGGAATATTCCTGGAATATTCTTGGGGACAAAGGGCGGCCGGAGCGTAGGGCTGACAACCTTGCCACCATCTATGAGCCGATTGTCTACAAAACGTGGGAACCTCAACATCTCACAACCCTATGGACCTCCACGGCCTGTTACTGGGACACGTTTACTTTTTTTATTACAAAATTGTAAGACAACACAAATGGAAAAGGAAAGACTGAGTAAACACGCGAACAAACTTAGATATAAGATGGTGTGACGCATTTGCGCTATGCATGACACCCCCTCCCCAGTCAGCTGTGACGTGACACTTTCGGAGTGTTGCCGTTGCCATGGTGATAGGCCAGTCAACATCCCGCCCCCTCCCGCGGTGATGTAACACAGGATGCCGCTGTTGCTACTCAGCAGTAAACAACTCCCGACAGCGTTGCTAGGCTATCGGCTTATATCCAATTGCTCCACAATCATCCTCACAATAGGCCAGAGGTGGCCGCATTACAAGGGACTTAGTCAACACTTGCTAACCTATACAATTTACGGAGTGAGTTTAGCGGCGCCTTTTCCTTCGTTTCTTCTTCTTGATAGTGGCAGACTGCGTTCCCGCTGCTGTGGGACGCGGTGACACGTCGTTTGGTGGAAGTGCTCTGTCGGCATCGCCAAACTCGAAGTGAGCCGAGCGGAGCCGAAGTGAGCCGAGTCTCAGCACGCTGGTTGCTAAGCAAAGCGAGTAAACAGCGGTTGCTAAGCAAAGCGGGTAAACAGTGGTTGCGAGAGACGACGGTAATAACAACGGTATCCATTACGTAACATGCAAACACGGCGTCAGACAACAGTCGTGCCTATTACGTGGCTGTTTTCTGTGTTGTCCGGAACGGGGCTAAATAAGGAGCAGCGAAGACTATTAAAGTCTGTTACGAGATACGGACGCGTGTGTGAGAATCAGTGATAGTTCGTGATAACCGAGTAAGAACCGCTGCAGTACAAGAGATCAGGGTGGTAAAATTATTTTTATGTGAATTCTGGCTTTGGCATACGCTTAGGCTAATATTGTGGATAGTAGCTATCCTTTCTACCGACTGAGCTCTCGGCTGTGAATGCAGTTATTTAGCAACGTTAGCCTAAACGGCCTGAACGCTGGAAATTGGTGGCAGCATAATACATCGTGACATCACTGCGGCCAAGTTGCCAGACAACGACATTGAGTTGCACGAGGTTGTAATTATCTATTTGTCGTGCTTTCCTGGTAAGCGGGTTAGAACTTTGTGAACGTTTATGAAGGTTTTGAACGGCTTTGGATCTGTTGTGTATTACTTTCAGAGGGGTGTATGAAGTGTTGTGGTGTGCTGTTAAATAACAGTTCAGTATTTATATAAGGGGTATTCGTCGAAACAGTTCTTTAAGAAGTTACATTACTGAGGGATTCTTTATTGCAATGGCTCGAAATGCTGAGAAGGCAATGACAACTTTAGCTCGATGGAGGGCAGCCCAAGTTAGTGATACAGGAAAAGAAAGAGAGAGGAGACCATATCTTGCATCCGACTGTCATGATTTGCCTAAAGCTGAGAAGTGGAGAATGCAGATTATTCGAGAAATAGCCAAGAAAGTGGCTCAGATTCAGAATGCTGGACTTGGTGAATTTAGGATCCGTGATTTGAATGATGAGATAAACAATCTTCTCCGTAAAAAGGGTCATTGGGAGACACAGATACGAGAACTTGGAGGCCCCGATTATGCTAAAGTGGGACTTCATATGTTGGATCATGTGGGCAAGGAAGTTCCTGGGAATCGAGGTTACAAATACTTTGGAGCAGCCAAAGATTTGCCAGGTGTTAGAGAGCTCTTGGAGCAGGAACCACCACAACATCCTAGAAAGACACGTGCCGAGCTCATGAAAGATATTGATGCTGACTATGGTTATCGAGACGACGACGATGGCATTCTGACACCACTTGAGCAAAATGATGAGAGGCAAGCAATAGGAAATGCGGTGGCTTGTTGGAAATTAAAGATGTCCCTTCATGGAGAAGCGGAAGGCTCGGGTCAGCCACAGGAAGAGAAGGAACCGCTAACGTAGAAGTACCGGCTTCCTGAGAAAGAGTGCATGTGCGACGAATGAGTGTGACACAACTGGATCTTCTGGGCAACTTAGCAGGCAACCGCTGGAGACGAGCTTTGTCTTAAGAGGGGAGCGGATGTAACGGACGAAGAATAGTCGCTGCAAGAAGAGTAGCCGAAACAACAGGAGACACTGCAAGCACAGCAACGGGGAAGGAAAAGGAACAGGGATGTACGGTTAGGCTTTTCGGGACGAACAACCTTTAGAAGGGAGCAGTGTGACGCATTTGCGCTATGCATGACATCCCCTCCCCGTCAGCTGTGACGTGGCACCTTCGGAGCGTTGCCATTGCCACGGTGATAGGCCAGTCAACACCCCGCCCCCTCCCGCGGTGACGTAACACGGGATGCTGCCGTTGTTACTCAGCAGTAAACAAATCCCGACAGCGTTGCTAGGCTATCGGCAAACACGGCGTGAGACAACAGTGGTGCCTATTACGCAACTGTTTTCTGTGTTGTCCGTAACGGGGCTAAATAAGGAGCAGCGAAGGCTATTCAAGAGTTAGTCACGAGTTAGCCAGAGAGTCAGTCACCAGTTTATTGCAGTCTAATAATTGTAATACTGCAGACAGAAGTAATTGTCAATCTGTAAATTGTGCGATTGTAAGAGCGAATGTGCAATAAAATCAGCTATATCCAATAAGGCGTGAAGTTATTTGTCGCTTTATACACCCAACACGTGACAATAGATAAAATCCCGGCCGATGTTGCAACTGGGTAAAATAAAAAAAAAAGTAAAGCTATCCCTGTAATAGGACATGGAGGTCCATAGGTTTGTGAGACGTTGAGGATCGTATATTTTCTAGACAATCAGCTCACAGATGGCGGTGAGGTTGTCAGCCTTACCCGCCGGCAGCCGTTCACCGCCCTGGAAGATTTCTGGCATTTGTTCCTCTTAGAGGCTGAGTCGACCCCAGGGTCATAGTGCGGCTGGAAGCCTTAAGTAAATTTAAATATCAAGTGATCTCATCGGAAATCGAGCCCGAGACCTTCCGACTTGTAGCATAGTGCCTCGACCAACTATGCTACCGCGTGCTACTGGGCATCAGTGAAATACAAATTTTTAACGGCACTCAATACACATGTATGCCTGGACAATTTTATTCTTGCTTTGCAGAATCAGTAACAGAGATACAAGACGTATAACATATAGTTTAATAGCCATTTTAGCGGCATACAGGCATTATCTCGGCAACTATGAGGCAAGTGGGTTTATTGCTCTCAGATAACGGATAAAGAGAACACCCTGTATTTGTAAGTATGGTTATATAGCATTGTCTTGCTAAAGATTACTTTGCCAGATGCGGTTGTCAGCTGCACGTTTCTGAGTCAAGGAATAAATGTGATAACAAATATACTTGGTATATCTTGCGGTAATATCAAGATATTTATTTCCGCCAAAGATGGCAAGAAACCTCAGTCCACAGAAACACTGTCGGGAGCACTGCTTGCATTGCTAATGCTCGTCCTTGTTAAAATCACAATATTCAAATTAGTTGCTTCACTTTCCAGAAAAAGAGAAGACACAGACACCCACACAAAATGACTACTGGTGAACTTTGTGGCCCAACTTCTTAATGACTAAAGCAGGGGTAGGAAAATTATGATTGGCGGTGATTCTCGAATATTTATTAATAATACGGCCATTTATAAAAACGATATTTACTGTCTCGTGACCTATACTGTACAGCAGAAGGATCTTGTAGACTGACAGGCTCAACAGTTTTGAACAATTTTCTGACGGATTCACATCTCCGCTTACCACAAGGCTTTTCATTGCCCTAATATTGTCATGTGTAGGGGTGACTATAGACAGGGTATTGCATTGGATGAATTGGATTTATTAACAACTTATACATTCAAAAATTGGGACTACATGCAATACAGCGCTATCGCTGATTCACGCACTTTACACTTCACCGTTACACAGGCACTAAGATTCTCAGTTTTCACTAGTCGTATCCTGACAACGGGTTAATAACCGTCTCACTGTGACTTCAAATCACATATAAAGTTTTCTTTGCACAGTCTGATTCATTTCTTGACACTTATTCTCGGTCACTTTCGACTGCCAAATCCAGAACTCGACCCAGTTCTTGACAACTCACTTAAACGAATTTTTGTCCTTTATTACAACTCAGCACGTACAAAGTAGAAAACAAAGCCTCTCTATTGTTGTTAAGGATTGATTACTGATACCTTGCCTAGCAATGGACGTCCTAAAGTTGCGCGTGTACGCTTCCGCAGGAATGTGTTTATCGAGTCGTTGCCTAGCAATGGGTCAATACGTCATAGTATTTAACAACTTGTGATTTAAGTCATTGGCTCGAATTTGCTTGTACTCAAGTACACTAAACTATAACTAAGCAGTGGGACTAAACATCTCCTGAAACCTTTTTTTTAATTCGCCTAGTGGGGGGTGGAGTCCAACTGAGTCCACTCGGCACGGCGGCCATTGATTGGCCTATTGTAGCCTTCCCCAGGAGATTATGATGATGGAGAATTTGGTGGAATGAAGATTGGCAGGGGAAACCGAAGTACTCAGAGAAACCCCGCCCCAGCGCCACTCCTGAAGCCTTTATTTCTCTTCCTTTCTCTCTCCCTCAGGAGCTTATTGAATTTTTCTCCCTCTTTATTTACTCTCTTATCTTGTTCTTTCTTCTGTCGTTTCTTTCCCCCCTACATGCATTAGTATCTTGCAGGCGGTAAGACTTAAATGTTTTCCAACTGTAGGCCTAAGGGACATGTTACTACTCAGGTAAATTCCAGGAGCACAGAACAGTACACTGAGAACAGGAAAAGAACAGTAAATATAATTCAAAAAAGAGTTTTCTTTAAATATTTTCTTCCCTTTCCGTTATGCCTTTAAGCAGACACCATTATTACAGGTAACTTGACATTAGTTTTAATCTGTAATCGAGAGAGGAGAGAAACATTTTAATATGAAAAATTTCTTTTTACTCCAGATAAAACAGAACTTAAAGTCTGTGGAACAAGAAAATGGGCTTTATGAGATCTTTCGGAGGTTTTTTGTCTAGGAATATAAGGTCGACTTGAATTTCTTGGAAAATTGGGTTTACAATGGACAGATATAGAAGAAAATTCAATTATTTTTTTTTATTTTAGTATATATTAACCATTCTAAATTTAACTGAAGACCGTTGACTTTTAAAATGAAATAGGCTGTGAGGCAGGAACCTTTTATGCGTTCCTTTCGCGAAGAACCACAAACATATCAGTTTATCGATACCACTGATACGAAACAGCTTTCACAACCCCGTTAGTAAAATAAACACTCACTAATACGGTTACAGTTAATCCGGATATCGGATAATCCGGATCGAAATATCAAAAATGAAAAATTCTCTTCACAGTTGAGTACATATTTTAAAAAACACATGCTGTTTAGGAAGGCAGATGAGCCACTTATGTGTTCAGACAATACTTGACCTTCAAACAAACACTATTACATTCAAAAGAAATTTGAATTTCTGCGTCTTCTATCGATGAATAAATACAGCGTCTCCTAATAGTTTTTAAAAGCTCTATAGTGATATTATTTATTTATTTTCATCAGCACTTCTTACATCATTAAATTTTCTATTTAAATATTTTCTAATTTTTTTTCTTTAGGGTTACCCTTTGCTTCACTAATCCAGATGACTTCCCCCCAGTTACTGCAAATTAGCGAGCGTTTTAATTTTTGTATGCCAAGTATGTATTCTTTCTCTCTATCCCACCTAAATCTCGATGTTTGGGAAGAAGAAGTCGTGTTTATGGTAAATTATGTTTGTTTCCATAAATCATATAGCTGTTAATTTCTTCAAAAGGCAAAATTTCCCACCAACGAGAAACTTTTTCCGTCTTCGTGGTGGAAGCAGTGTTTATATATTAGCGTAATGTGAAGCCAGTACAGATGTTCTGTGAGATTGGCTCTTTTTCCCGTCACATGGGAACTCAGTGCCTGCGAAGCCCAGTGGGACATTGTGAGCGTAAGAGCAGCTCAAGTCTCTGTGCGTCT